GAGGGCACTTCCTGACCTCTGGACTGTGTTCAATAAAAACAAGCACTGTGATCAAGGTCATCACCTCCAGTGTGACCTAGAGTCAGCAACCTCATTTCATCTTCTGCCACTTTGGAGCAGGAACAAGGAGAAGATCTGGCTGCTAAGGAGCAGAGAATAAAGATTAATAAATTGTTTACAACCCTTTGAGTCCCTGAATCTCCTGGTTTCTATCGTTTTCTTTAGGCATGTGGCTCTGTAACAACTTGGAGTTTTTCCAGGCACAGGGGATAGGTCAACAGGATGTAAGGAAACCACACTTTCCACAAGCCTGTAATAGTTCAGTTGTAAGAGATCTGGAAGAGAATCTAATCCACATGCCTTCTGGCATTGGATCTTCACAGTACCCCCAACACGTGGCTCTGAAGACTCTGATGAGGCTCCCATGAGGGGCAGCCTCACCACCCCAAGCTAACATGACATTTTATAACAATTCAATTAGAGGGCCTCCCCGGTGGCCTAAGGGCTAAGTCTCAGTGTTATGAAGCTATCACCGGTCACTGCAATGACCTGAGTTCAATCCCTGGCCAGGAAGCTAACCCACATGGTGCAGCAGACCTCTCCTGTCTTGCCCGCTGCTCCCCTCAGCAGTGTATTTCAGTAGATCCACCTGTTGTGCTCCCCACTCTGTCTCTGGTGAATCCCTCCCCCTGACCCTCTGGCCTACATCCCAGTGGTTCTAAGCAAAAATAATAACAGTTCATTTAAAATGTTGCTCAGCAGTAAATAAATTTTGCTTCCTAGTTACCATTCAATCCCTTCTATTGATCACCAGCACACAGTTCAAAACGTTTACCCACAAGATACCCATTATCTCCCCCCATACGAAACCATTGTTCTTTTGCTTTGATTTCCTATTCAGTTGTATGGCAGCCAGATAGTCAAGTCAAATTTGTTTGTCCAGAGAAAGTTTTCTTTTGTTTACCATTTCATATGCAGCCAGTTCTCAAGGTCTGTCAATTATATTTTGTTGCTGTTTCACAAATGTGTCCATTTTCTTGATCTAGGTACTGTATCTGAATTCTGGCCACTTTCATCTGCTGATAATAGTAATTACTTCTTGAAAGGTTGATTGTATTTCTAGTCCTACACTCTTTCAATCCTTCACATGGTAGGGAGAGTAAGTGTTAAAAATTCTAATTTGATTATCACTCTTCCATTGTTATTCCTCCTATTGACCCTTGAAATAACTTTGTAGGTATTATCAACTGGCTCATTGATAGTTGATATCAATCAACTATCAATCTCATCTCTTATCACTTGGATCTCAGACTGTGAGTCAAGTCAGACTGAGTAGCATTGCATTGGGAACTTGCCATCCTTTTCTCACTTTCAAGTCATTGCACAGATTTTTCAAATTGTGGAATGAACTAAGCTCACAGCTTCCCTGAGACTCCTGTTAGAAATTTTTTCTTTTGAAATTTGTCTTTTTCTTTCAGTCTCACGTCTCACATAGAAGTTGAAAAAAATAATAAGGAGAGGGGCCTCCCTGGTGGCACAAGTAGCTAAGACACAACCTATGAAGCTATTCACAGCCACTGCAGCACAAGTTTGATCCCCGGCAAGGGAGCTACCCACATGGCGCAGCAGACCTCTCCTGTCTTGCCCGCTGCACCCCTCAGGAGTGTATTTCAGTAGATCTGCCTGTTCTGCTCCCCACTCTGTCTCTGGCCTGTGCCCCAGCTCTTGTATGCATAAATAAATCTTAAAAAAAAATAAAGAGATCTTCTACATTCTTCATCCATCATTCATCAACGATAGGATGGTGTAGGGTAAGTAAAAGTATCAGGCTTTTCTGCCTTCCCACCATATCTGATGGCGGACACCTGGAATAGGTTGTGGGCATATGTGCGTGGATACACCTGGGCTGAGACTACTGGGCTTATAAGGGCAGCGCCACGGGGATGCCAGCAGAGCAGAACAGCAGAATGAAAGAGAACCAGGAGAAAGAGAGCAAAAGAGACCGGACCAGACCAGAAGGAGAAGAGAGAAGCAGAGGCCACAAGAGAGCGCCGGAGAGCTCAGAGAGAGAGAAGACTTTCTGGGGTCTGGGAGGCCTGCCAGCCTCCTAGCTCCCCCCACCCCACCCCCCCACCTCCCTCGGTCATGTACCTGGTAAATCCCAATAAAAGCCAGAAAAAGCCAACGAGGGCTCCAGGACTCTCTCTTCCTTTACCCCGTCTGCTTGGGTCATAGAAATCCTGCACTGTGCCCTTCCTGCTGCTACATATGGTATCCTTTCAAATGAGGAAACTGGCATTAGAACAATATAACAATAAGATACAGAAGTTATTTGGATTTAACCATTATTTTTTTCTTGATGTACAGTTCTATGAGATTTTTTTTTTGCTGTCATAGGTTTGTGTAACCACCACAATCAAGATATAGGACTGTTTCATCATCCAAATGAATCTTTCCCATTGTACACCTTTATTGTTATACCATCTCTACGCCCCTAATCCCCGCCAACCACTAATCTTCCAAACACTCATCTGTTGTTCATTATTATAATTTCATCATTTAATAAAATTATATAAAAAGCACACAATTTACAAACATTTGAGATTATATTTCTTTTACTCAATATAATACTCTTGAGACTCATCCATGTTAAGTAAATCAGTCATCTGTCCACTTTGTTCTATGAGTTTTCTATTGTATGGATGAATTTACCACAGTTTATCCATTCCCTTGTTAAAGGACACTTGGATTACTTCCTGTTTTCTTTTTCTTTTTCTAGTGAAAAATGAGGCTTCCAAAGTGTGTAATGCATATACAGTGGACTATTACACAGGCCTGAAAAAGGACAAAACTTCTGATAAATGCTGCAACACGGATAAACCTTAAAGACTTGCTAAGTGAAATAAGTCAGCCACAAAAAGACAAACACTGTATGATTCCACTTGTATGAGGTCCTTAAAGTAGTCAAAATAATAGAAGCAAAATGTAGAACAGTCAGTAACTGGGGTGGGACTGGAAATTGGGAGTTGTTTAATGAGTACAGAGTTTCAGTTAGGAATCAGTCTTAGAGACAGATGCTTAACAATGTGAACACACTTAATACTAATAAATTGTACATTCATGGTCAAAATGGCCAATTTTATGTAGTATATATTTTATATATACACAATGAAAATATAAGATTAAAATAAATGACTAAAGGATAATATGCAGTATAAGTAGTGAGAGAAAAAAATGAAGCAAATTAAGAGGAAGAGAGTGGCTAGGTAAAGTGATCAAGACAGGTTTCTCTGATACAGAGATATCTGAAAAAAAGAAAAAAGAACCAGCTGGTGATACACCAGTGGGGATGTCCAGGCAGGATAATGGTGAGCATGGAGCCTAGGGCAAGAGTGCTCTTGGTGTATTAAAGGCTTCAAAGAGTCTTTTGAGCCTCCATGGAAAAGTATGTGTGCACATGTGCATGCCTGTGTGTATGGTTGGTATACATAATAAACGTGTGTATGTGTGAATTCATGGGTTTCTTTATGTTTCTCTGTTGGAAGCAAGGATCTTGGCATGACAAACTTTGTGAGCCCACTTATGGTGGCTCAGAAATGAGTAGAGTAAAAATGCTTGTCCACTTAAGGAGGAACTATGCAGTATTAAAACAGACAGTGACCAAACACTCTGCAGAGACCCCTGGGAAATACCTTAAAAGTGTCTCTAGTATAATCCTAAGAGTTAATTATTAATCTGGGGTTAAGAGTTGCTTATTAATCTGGGTCTATGCTGTCCCTGTTCTTAAGGCTGTTTGGACTCCCTGTGGTTGAATCCAGCCTCCGCCTCACCTTTAACCATCTAGCAGGTCAGCATCCCTGTCAGTGCTGTCCTGCTCTGCAGAAGACCCAGTAAGTCACTTCTAATGAATGGATCTAGGGTTCTAGGTCAAATATCCAGGAGGTTGACTTGACCTTGGAGGTCAAGAGAAAACTTTTAGGTGGGAGGTAGCAGGCCGATTCTATGCTGGGGTGTGGAGGTATCTCTGCTAATAATGCAGTGTCTATAACTTTCCTGATGATTTACAAATGAGACTGCCTGAATTTACAAAGAGACTCATGGAGGGAGGAATAGACCCACAAGGCTGGGCTGCAGACATATTCTGAGGAGGAGAGTTTGTTTTTTTTTTAAAGATTGATTGATTGATTGATTGATTGATTGATTGATTTATACAAGCACTGGGTACAGTCAGAAGCACGGGAGGGTGAGAAGATTCACCAGAGCACAGTGGGGAACAGAACAGGTAGACCAACGAAATACACTGCTGAGGGGAGCAGCGGGCACTGCAGGAGAGGTCTGCGCACCATGTTGGACCCTCACTGGGGGCCGGGGATTGATCCGGTGCTGCAGAGGCTGTGGGCAGCTTTGCAGCCCAGCGCTCAACCACTGCGCCACCAGGGGAGGCCTGAGGAGGAGAGTTTTGAAGGACAAATGAAATGTTAGGATTGAGAAACAAAAGGGAAAATCAAGAAAGGTGTCTTAATTGCCAATAGTTTAGACTCAAGAACACAGAGAATTCCTGCTAGGAAGGAGAGAAGGATTTGACTCCCTGCCAGGACAAAAGTAGTAAAAATTTTCCAGAAAAAATGCTGTCCTAGGCAAGTTTCTCTTTCTTGGGAAATAAAGTATAAAGAGGAAGCAAAATCAAGTTAATTCTTGACTGGGCTAGTGACTTCCTCTCTGGATCACCAGTCTGCAGCTTAGTGCCTTCAAATGTGCAAGTGTTGGCTCACTGGCCCTGGAAGGCAACAGACTCTCCAGATGGGAGGAAGGGATTCAGGTGGCAGGTGGACCCAAAGGGAAGAGGAGCTCCAACCGATTTCTGGGTCTCCATTTGCTCCCACCCCCTAAGCCAACTGGTAATGTATAGTCCTCTTTGCGCTGAAGGACACAGGAAATATACATTGATTGACTGAAATGGATAAAATGATCTTCCTTTTTCCCACACTAAGGTAAGGACCATGTCCTTGTCTTCATCACTTCCTCTCCTTCTCCTGAGTGTGGTGGCAGTGTCTTGCTCTGAAACACAAAAGTGTGAAAATGTTCCACAGACCTGCCCTGTGATGGCCTGTGGAGCTCCAGGCATCAATGGCTTCCCAGGAAAAGATGGCCATGATGGCGCCAAGGGAGAGAAGGGTGAACCAGGTACAACTTTGCTGGTCTGTCTCTGGCTCTTTGCTTTGCAGAGGGAATTGTCTGGAGATGTGACTAGGGTGACTACCTACTATTAGGTAGGTTGCATACTTTTAACTACATATTATAATTCAAAACAGAGATACAGCTCTGAATCTCTGGCACATAATATTTCCACACAAAAGGGGCGACATGTGGTCCCTCTCCCTGCTACAGAATTTGGCTTTCAGGAAAGGACATCCCTTGAGACTTAAGAGGACTTTCTTCTCTAGTTATTTGGGAGTGCAGTGGTTTAGAATAGTTGGCCGTGGGTCAATGTCCCTTTTCCTGGAAAAGGATTGGGCATCAAATTCTTGTAGATAAAGAGCAAGAACACATACACTGAATTGTTTCCTTTGTTCTCCATTAGGTCAAGGTCTCAGAGGCCTGCAGGGCCCTCCTGGAAAGTTGGGGCCTCCAGGAATTCAAGGGCTTGCTGGATTAGCAGGATCAAAGGGTCAAAAAGGAGACCCTGGAACATGTCCAGGTAAGGAACCTACCTCAGCAAGGTCTAAACAGAGAGAACTCAGGGTATCTACCCGGTGACAGGTGCCTGTGCCCCCTCTGCTGCTTCAGAAGATGGAACTCTGTTTCCAAACACAATTAATACCCCAAGGTCTGCTCCAGGGCTGCTATCAGTGTCTAAATATTGACTCACAAACCTTTCAGGGCCAATCTCTAACCTGCACCTCTCTGAGAAACTGAATCCTGGTTTTTCATTTGAAAAAAATTCAATGTAAGACTCTTGTCCAAAGAGAAGATAATAAGCATTGAAGTGTTGGACTTATGTCCATTTTCACAGCATCAGTATTTAAGTGGCATGTCTTTACTCCATAAGAAACAAATAAGAAACCACAGTCATTATTTTAAATCACAATTTTATGGATCAGCCAAGTCTTAGCGATCCCATTCATATGTCTGTGGTCAACTAATGATCCGCAGTGTCATTTACGTGTATGGCTATTGTTTGTTTGTCGGCTGGAGTGAGGAGGGTAATTGAGCCGCTGGTGTCTCATTATCCAGCAGGTTAGTCTGGGTTTTTCCACAGAGGTGATTACAGTTTCCCACAAGTACAACAAACTTCGTGAAGGCTTAGAACATCTTTACTAGCACTTCTGCCTTATTCTGTTGGTCAAAACTCACAAGACAAACCCATATTCGAGGAGAAGGAAAACAAATTCCGTTTCTTAATGAGAGAAGCAGTGCCCTACTGAGGCCATTCTGCCATTTGTTACACATGGCTTGCCTCGTACCCTCTCATCTTGGAAACACAAAAATCTTTTTTTTTTTTAAAGATTTATTTTATTTATACAAGAGCTGGGGTACAGACCAGGGGCACGTGAGGGTGAGAGGATTCACCAGAGACAGAGCGGGGAGCAGAACTACTGAAATGCACTGCTGAGGGGAGCAGCGGGCGAGACAGGAGAGGTCTGCCGTGCCATATGGGTATTTCCCTGTCTGGCCAGGAATCGAACCCGTGCTGCAAAGGCTGTGGACAGCTCCACAGCACTGTGTTCAACCTGCTGCGCCACCGGGGAGGCCCTGCACAAAAATCTTTTAATAGTAAATTTAATAATTAACAGAACAAACTTGGGGAAAAAACAAAACAAAGCAACAAAAGCAAAACTTTGCAAAAAACAAAACCTTATAAGTATTTAAGTCCATATTCAGTAGCTCATAATAATTTTCCAAGAGATTTATTGTATCTATGATAGAATTATTTGTTTGGAAAAAAATAGCAAAGAGCTTAGGTTATGGGGTGCTCTCAGGCTAGGTCATCAGAGTGGATATGTGTGCACATGTTTGTGGGTGTGTGCATAAAATTCACCAGTTGAAGAGTGATGTTTTGGTCTGAATGTTGGTCTGGATGTTTTGGTACTTCTCTTTCTTTTCAGTATTTTACATTAAAAAGCAAAGAGCAACATAAAACAAACAAACCAACCATTATATTTTATGTGAAAAAGTTCCCCATCCCCATATAGTTCTGAAACTTCATCACACTAATCATTTTTCACTTTGTTTTAACTTTCTAGATTGTAGTGGATCACCGGTTACTTCACAAATACAAGCTCTACAAGCAGAATTGGAGCTTATCAAAAAGTGTAAGCTTTCTTTCTTACCTTTCAGACAGCTTCAACTTTGGCAAGGTGGATAGCAACAAATACACATTAAAAATATTATTACTTCATAATATCGAGAGAGTTGTTTCTCATATTCTGATCTCATGTAATACTCATGACCACCACTGGTAGAAATAGTGGGAAAAGGATGTTAACTGTGTACTCAAACACACAGCTTTTAAGTGGCAGAGGTAGCTTACAAATTAAAACTGTCTGTTCTGGAGGCCCTAATTCTGTGCCCTGTACTCTCTGGATACTGAAAATGGGACCTGTGTCCCTTTGTTATGCTGATGTTGAGATCAGGCCATTATGGTTTTTATCTATCCCTTCAGGCCTAGGACAAATATTCTCAGATATTTTTGCTTTTTCTCAAGTTAATTTTGGGATAAATTCCAAATCTCAAATGATATGTTTTCCAGAACTCTAACACTAGAGGGCAAATATCTATATAGGTTCCTATCTATCTCTTCAAATCAGATCTAACAAAGAAAAAGCATGACACCCAGCTAAATTTGAATTTCAGATAAACAAAAAAATAATTTTTGTGTGTGCTATCAGTATGTCCCCCAATCTACCTGGGACATAACTACACACACACACACACACACACACACACACACACACACAATTGATTGGTCATCTAATTTCAAATTTATGTAACAACTCTATCTAGGTCTTTATCCAGAAAAATAATGGGTTGGGCTTAGACAAGTCAGTATCACCCACATTTTCTCATTTTAGGGCTGTTCTTCTCTCTGGGCAAAAAAATTGGGAAGAAGTTCTTCTTGAGCTATGGTGGAAGTATGCCTTTTGACAGAGTGAAGGCTGTATGCACCCAGTTCGGGGCCTCTGTGGCCACCCCCAAGAATGAGGCAGAAAATAACGCCATCATGCATGCAACCGGAGGAGATGCCTTTCTGGGCATCACAGATGAGAAGACTGAAGGACAGTTTCTGGATATGAAAGGAAATAAGCAGACTTATCTCAATTGGGAGGATGGTGAACCCAACAATGTTGGTTCTGGAGAAGACTGTGTGATGATCAAGACAAGCGGCAAGTGGAATGACATCTCCTGCTCCACTTCCATATTGGCAGTCTGTGAGTTCCCTGTTTGAGGAGGCATCACTCTCAGGCCCTCCTTGTCCCTTTACCTCATCCCATAGATTCCCAGTCTAGTTTGGAAGATTGATCTAGATCAACCAGTACACGTACAGTTGTGGAGAATCAAAGAATGAGAAGCCTGGATTGAATGGTGGAATTTGGAATAAAGAAGTGGACTGCTAATAATAACAATAACAATAAAATCATAATTGTAACAATAGCAGTAATAATAGTATTAATAGCAATAGTAATAATAATAATAATAATAATAGTATACTAGTAATATTAGCAGCATTAGATAGATGTGCCAATAATATATTTTTTCCAGTTCTGTGGCAATATAATTGATATACAGTATTGTATAAGTTTAAGGTGTACTGCATAATTATTTGAAAATAATATATTTTTAATGTCTATTGTGAGTCAGACTGTACATTTTGAGTCTTAGGTCACTATCTAAATTATTAGTATAATTTATTTAACATTAATATAATTTTATATTGTTATTAGGCTGTACACTTTATTTGAGTAATGTTAACTTGCTAAGGTACAAGAATAAAAATATATTTGTTTTTTCTATTTATTATTGTGTTCTCTTGAGTCTTTCTTTCTCATTGGGTAGAGGGTTCACAAATAAAACCCCCAGTCTAATTCACAGCTTTTCAGTCAATGAAAGGTAATAAATCTATTTTGTAGCTTTCTCTCTGAAATGTATAACTACATTCTAGATCAAAATACAGGTCATATTTTGTATCCCAGAAGCCATTTCATAAAAAACTTCTACTTGGTAGTCCCAAAGGTAAATATTATTCTGACATCTATTACCATACATTAATTTTGTATTTATATGAATTTCATAAAGATGTTATTGCACTATATATATTGCATGTCTTTTTTTCATTCAAAATTAAAACTGAGATTCATTCACATTGTTATGTATAGCAGTTGATTATTTCCCTTTCACTGCCATGTCTTTAGAGATGCATAACATATGACCATACCTCAATTTATCCATTCTTTTATTAATAGATACTAGGACTACTTCCAATTTTTGACATTTAGAGAAAAAAATCTCATGAACTTTTCTGCTTTTGCCTTTAGGTAGAAATATCGCTCACTACCTAGGAATTAAATCGGTGGGTCAAGGAGTAAGCATGTGTTTAGCTTTACAGTATACTGCCAATTTTCCAAAATGATCATGTGACTTTACATTCCCACAAGCAACATGTGTCAACTCTAGTTGTTCTATCTATTCATAAAGAGCTGATATTTTTAGTCCTTTTAAGAAAGTGATATCTCACCATGGATTACTTCCTGTTTCCCTAACACGTAATAATGCTGAACACATTTTTCATGTTCTTTTTGGTTACTTGGGTATCTTTAAAGTCTATTATATTTTGTTTAAGTAGGAAAAATCTTTCTTACTGACTTGTGAGAGTTAATTTTATATTCTGGTGATACATTCCTTTGTATGTTTCACAAATATTTTTCCAGTTTGTTATTGTTCCCAGTGTTGACTTTTGGTGAATAAAAGTTGTCAATTATAACAAATTCCAATCTATTAATATTTTCTTTTATATTGAATATTTTGTCTTATTTAAAATATCTTTGTCTTTTCTAAATTGTAAAGATATTCTCCTGTTTTTTTTTTCTAGTAGCTTTATTGCTAGACTTTCTCTCTCTCTCTAGTAGATATTTGCTTAGTATAGCTCTATTTGTTAGAAAGACCATTCTCCCCCATACACTGAAGTAGAATAATGCCTTTTTGTTTTAAGTTAGTTAATTGCATATGTATATCTAGGTTTTCTATGCTGTTATACTGGCTTATTTGGTTGATGGAAGTACCAAATACTATACTATGTTAGTTACCATATAATAATACTAGGAACAGTTATGAGTATCTGGTCATATATGACTCCCAGGTTTGTTATTCTTCAAGATTGCCTTGACTTTTCTTTGTTATTTGCATTTTCATATATATTTTAGAATCAACTTTTCAATTCTACTTAAAAAAGCTAAGATTTCCATTGATACCGTATTAACCCTTTCCATCAATTTAGGTAGAACTGCCAACTTGCTACTGAGCCTCCAATTAATAATCATTCAGAGTCTACGTCTCCATTTAACTTAGATTTCATTAACATCTCTTACAATGTTTTGAAGTTTTAAATTTAGAGGTCTTGAATATCTTGTTTTGGTGGTTTTAGAAATAATATCTTTTTAATAGTATTTATTTTCTATGTTTTTCTGCATATAGCAATGCAATTATTTTGCATATGACCCTTTTTCAGTCACCTCATTATGTCCTTTTTTTAAATTCTAATGTTATTTTATAATTCTTCTGAGCTTTCTGTATAGTCTCATAATCTGAAATGATAACAGATTCTTTCCTGATAATTATTTTCCCCTTGTGTTTTTTTTTGTACCTTTCTCATCTCTTTTATTTTTTTTTTATTTTATATATTTTTACATCATTTTTCATTTTTGCACAATGTATGCATTTTCATCTTGGTTATAGACCCACACAATTCCCACCCCCCCTTATTTTGACCCTAGTCCCTCCTATCTCCCCTCCCACCATAGTGTGCCTCTGGTTTATAGTTGCTTGTTGATTTTGACTTTTACTTTATTATAATTAGTCTTTTTCCTGGTCCCTTATTTAGGTTTTCTAAATTCCTGCTATGAATGAGAACATCCGGTATTTTACTTTTTTTTTTCTGGCTTATTTCACTGAGCATGATCCCTTCCAGCTCCAACCATGTTGCTGCAAATTGCATGAGTTTATCTTTTTTTATTGCTGAGTGATATTCCATTGTGTATATGTACCACATCTTCTTGATACAGTCATCTATTTTTGGGCATTTGGGTTGTTTCCATAGCACAGTTATTGTAAATAGTGCTGCTATTTAGGGGTACAGGTACCCTTTTGAATTAATGTTTCTGTGTCCTTTGGGTAAATACCAAGAGTGGAATTGCTGGACCACAAGGAAGCTCCATCTTTAGCAGGTTGAAGAATCACCACACAGCTTTCCATAGTGGTTGGACCAGTTTGCACTCCCACCAGCAGTGAAGAAGAGTTCCTTTTTCTCTGCACCCTCGCCAACATTTGTTGTTACTAGTTTTTTTAGTATGTGCCATTCTCACTGCTGTAAGATGGTATCTCATGGTAGTTTTGATTTGCATTTCCCTGATTACAAGTGATGCTGAATATTTTTTCATGTGCCTGTTTGCCATTTGCATTTCCTCTTTGGAGACATTCCTTTTTAGCTCTTCTGCCCATTTTTTGACTGGATTATTTTCTTTGTTTTTGTTGAGACTCTTCAGCTCTCTGAAGATTTTTGTGATCTGTCCTTTATCATTAGTGTTGTGTGAAAAAATTTTCTCCCAGTTGGTGGGGCGTCTGTTTGTTTTGGTTACCGTCTCTTTTGCTGTACAGAAGCTCTTTAATTTGATTACTTCATTGTACGGTATGGGATAGATGTAGAATAACATCTCAATGCAGTACTGAATAGAAATAATGACAGTGAACATCCTTGTCAGTGCATTAGGATGATTTTGTTTTATCTCAGTCATTCAGATAATCTTTATCTTTTCCAAAAATTCCTAACTCATCTGTAACTTAAGTCTTCTCCTAACTAGCTTCTATGCTACAGAAGTTTATAAATGGGGGTGTCTTCCTTGCTACCACCCAATTCTTGCTTTCTTCTGGTGTTGGGTAAAGAGAAAGGAGGATGAGTCTTAAAAATAACTAGTAGTGGGGCCTCCCTGGTGGTGCAGGGGTTAAAGTCTCAGCTCTGTCAAGCTATTGCCAGCCACTATGGCATGAGTTTGATTCCCCAGCCGGGGAGCTAACCCATATGGTGTGGCAGACCTCTCCTATCCCGCTCGTTGCACCCCTCAGCAGTATATTTCAGTAGATCTGCCTGTTCTGTTCCCCACTCTGTCTCAGATGAATCCTCTCATCCCCCACACCTCTGGCCTATACCCCAACTCTTGTATGCATAAATAAATAAAAACAAATCTTTAAAATAAATATATAAAATGACTAGTTGTAATGCTTGTCTAACCTTTCTCAGTTTTTGCCACCACCAGCCTAGATCATTGTCAGTAGATTACCCACGGTTGGATGGAGTCTCTCAAAATAACTTGAAGATTGACTAATACCTCTTGCATGGTTGTCCCCTGTAAAAATGTCCCACACTTGACAGGTTCTCTATACATTCCAGTGACATCTTGCCATGTCCAAAAATTATCTGTTAGTCAAAGGATTAGTATTTGTCAACCTTCAAAAATCTATATATCTTTGAAAATAGTTCCTGGAGATCTGATCAATGATTTCAATTCTGGCAGCATAGAATCTTCTGACTATTTTAAAGGCAACAGAAATTACCTGGAAGAGTCGGACCTGTATGGCTTATCAAAAGAAAGTCAAATCATTTCCAAAATTAGGAGTCAAATCATTGATAGAAAAAAAATATTTGCAGTTTCTGGCACTATATTCCAGGGTCTACTATTGAAGGGTTGCTAAGGAGACATGTCTGATATTGTGCTAAACATCCAGAGAAACCCAGAGCAGCCAGATACAACACAAACAACAATATAATGAAGTGTTTCAGGTTTTAATTTCTCCAGCTCGGCCTATCTAAACTGGATTCAAAGCTCTATAGCTCAGTCATTCATATGAGACCGGAGAAAATTAGGACACAGATTATATGAGGATTGTTGAGGAAATGAAATAAGTTAATAGCTCTATAGAGTTTGGTTGAATGCCAGGATGCTACATTACATTCAGTCATGTCTCTGTGTATTTTGTAATGAAATTGTATGGACTTGTGATAAGTAACATTTATTGAGTTTTAAAAATTAAATCAGGGGCCTCCCTGGTGGTGCAAGGGGTTAAGTCTCAGCACTATGAAGCTATCACCAGCCACTGTAGCACGAGTTCAATCCCTGGCTAGAGAGCTGACCCAAATGGCACAGCAGACCTCCCGCCTCCTCATCTGCTCCCCTCAGC